AGTGGTCAAGAGTTTGCCTAGCAGGTGACACCTCGGGCCTGATCTCTGACACTGTAAAACAATAAATTAATCAAATTTTAAAAACAATACATGGGCTGGGGCTGAGGCTCAATAGACCCCCAGGTACAGCAGTCACCTAACATGTATGAGGCCCTGGGTTCAATCCTCAGCATCACATAAAGATCAATAAAAATAAAGATATTGTGCCCAACTACAGCTAAAATAAATAAATAAATATTAAAAATATATATGTGTTACAGATATATAGATTATATATGTGTATACATATTTATAAATAAAAAGTTATATATATTACATAGAAAATTTATTTGTATGTGTGTATATAAACATATACACACATACATATATATTTTCTAATATATATATATATATATATAAAATTTCCCAGCTAGGTGCGATGGCATATGCCTGTAATCTTAGTGGCTCAGGAGGAGGAGGCAAGAGGATCCCAAGTTTAAAGCCACCCTCAGAAACTTAGCAAGGCTCTAAGCAACTGTCTCTAAATAAAATATAAAAAGGGCTGGGGGTCGGGGCTGGAGTTGTGGCTCAGTGGTAGAGCGCTCGCCTAGCACATGCAAGGCCCTGGGTTCAATCCTCACCACGACATAAAAAATAAAATAAAATAAAGGTATTGTGTCTGACTACAACTAAAGAAAAAGCAAAATATTAAGAAAAAAAGGGGGGGCTAGGGGTATGGCTCAGTGGGTGAGTGCCCCAGGGCTCAATCCCTGGTCCTGGTAGCAAAAAAAAAAAAAAAAAAAAAAAAAAAAAAAACCTACCCTGTTGGTCCTGAGCTCCTGAGCAGCCTAGAGGAACGAAGTCTCACTGGGTCTGCTCTGCATTTGACCCAGTACTTCCTGCGGGTGCCCACTGGGAGAAACTGAGTGAAGTGGAATCAGGTTCAGACCACAGTTGCAAAATGCAAGGGACCAGGAACAAGCAAGAGCAGACGGAGGGGCCCAGGCCTTATGATGTGGCCTCCCCAACATGCTGCTGTGGGTGGGGATCCTGAGTTAAAGGAACCACGGAAAGATGGAGCTGGAGCTGGGGCATGGCATGTAAATCACATGTGCTAGCCCTGGGTTCTATCCCCAGCACTGGTAGGGAAGGAAGGCAGGCAGGCAGGGCGGGAAGAGCAGGCTAATCTTGGATGAGCAAGAGCAAACCTTTCATCAAGGCTTCTGTAAGTGACCCAGGTGGTCCAGCAGATCCAAGGAGTTTTCGCCCTATRTGGCCCCACAGAGGGGTGACTCCAATCTGCCACCATCCTGGAGTCAGGATCTGACTCACTGGGCAAAGCAACTGTGCCTGACTTYGGCTTGGAGTCAGTGTCAGGCACCTGGGGTCTGTGCAGCCAGGACTGCAGGGCCAGGCTGCCTGGTGGGGCCATCAGGGTGCCAAGGAGGAGGGTGCCAGGGCGCCAGGGCTGAGGCCTCTGGGATGCTCACACTCCACTCCAGGGAAGCGCTGCTTGACTTTCAGCCTTTCATTCCCCAAACAAAGCTTCTGCCTTGTGAAGMAGTGAACCAGGCAGGGTCATCGCCAGTGTGTCAGGCTGAGTAGAGATGCCATGGCTGCCAGCACAGCGCCAGAAGTCCCCAAGAGCAACCCCAGTTCAGTGACTTGCTAGGAGCACTCGCAGTCCTGTTTACAGCCACAGGCACCATGGGATTCACTATAGCCAAAGAGCAGAGCCAAGTGAGCAAAGGGAAAGGTAAACCAGGTGAAGTCACAGGAAGCCAGCGAAGCTCCCAGTCCTCAGCCCCGTGGGGTCACATGCTCATTCCTGCAGCAGGCTGTGAAGTGGTCTCTGCGAGGGACGCTGGACCGAGTCAGAGTCCACCAGGGTTCTGCCAGGTGTGGGTTGTTGGCACTCTCTACAGAGAACAGCCCAAATCCCAGGGAAGGGGAAACCAGTGTGTGTGTGTGTGTGTGTGTGTGTGTGTGTGTGTGTGTGTTTCTCCCCGCTGTGGTGCCAAGGATCAAACCCAGGGCCTCACACATGGTAGGCAAGTGCTCTACCACCCAGCTCCACCTCCACCCGCCACTTGTGCAAACCCTCTGGGCATAACCACTCTGGTCATCTCTGAAATCCAGATTCCAGGTGCCAGCCCGGCCCCCAGTGTGTACCCTTTCTGCCCCTCAGGGTGTGGTGCAGATTGGATCTCACGTGCCCATCTGTTTAGAGTGACAGTTGAGCAAGTTCCCTGGAACCCACCTCTTGGCCCAGGCTGGGCACAGAGAGCAACGGCCACATCCCACTGCTGCTAATCTGTTATCACCTGAGCCCAGTCCGAGCTAGTGGCATCAGGGAGGAACAAGGGTGCTCCAGGCACAGGGCTACACATGTTACCCACCCAGGGCTCTGCCCACAGATGGCAGTGGCACCTGTAGGCATCCAGATGGGACTCAGACCCACAATGTTTCTGTAAGCAAAGTCCAGAGGGGAGGAGGAACATCATCACCACCCCTGCTCAGTTGAACTGGACACCAGCCTTTGGCTCCCAGGGCTGCTGATGACGTGCTTCCTGGATTCAACAAACATTGACCTTGTGCCCAGCATATTAGCCAGGCCAGGCTCCAGGAATAAGGGTTTGAGTTGGCCATAGTGTGCAGGGGACAAGGTGTTCCTGCTGGCTTGGGGGGATGGGTGGGCTGCACTGAGCTCTTCTCCCCCAGTGGAWCCTTCTAGGCCTGTGAGCTCCACTCTAGTTTTATCAAATGGAAAATAGACTCAGGGAGCTAAAGTGGATGTGGGTGGTGGGGAGGCAGGAAGCCCGGAGAGCCATCTAGGAGGTAAAAAATGAGGGGGTGGGACCACCTCATCTGCCTACAGAGTAGCCCAGAAGACAGAGAAAGGCAGGGAGGGGATGGGTAGATGGGTGGATGAGACCCAGCTGCAGAGTCCAATGGGCTGCAGGGCAGAGTTCTGTTCTAACCCCAAGGTCACCAGCTCTGTGACTTTGGGAAAATGCGTTTGCCACTCTGGCCTCAGTTTCCTGGGGACATCAATATCTCCCATTTCGATGCAATTTAAACTGTGGGCCCCAGAGGTAGAAGCCCTGGCTCACACTCCAGTTCTGTGCAGCCACTTGCCAAGGGCACAGCCTGGGAGAGTCCTCTGTCCTGTACTCCAACCCCCAGGGTTGCTGGCCAGGGTTTCCATCATCAAA